TGACCAGAGTTACTCTTAAGTGGGCCAATCTTGTCCCTAATCTTACTTCTGTATACCTGAAAGAACCCTTTTGGGTTAGTCTTTGAATCCCTTGCGACCTTAGCCTAATAATCCCTTTTTGCTTTTCTTATTTCTTTGTTCATTTCTCTCTCTAATTGAATATATTGATTTCTTAACTGCCCATCCCCTTTTTTGATACGCCTATATATGCCTCTTTATTGACCAATGAGATGTTTTAATCTATTGTTCATCCATTTGGGATTATTTTTGTTAGATCTAATTTCCCTACTCGGAACAAAAGTTGTCTGGGCAGCTAGAACTATCCTCTGAAAAGCATCTTATTGGGAACTAAGATCACCTACCTGACCCATAGTCAGGACATCCAAATTTAGCCCACCCAGGTAATTTTTCAGTCCCATGAAGTTGGCCAAGCGAAAATCTGGGACAGAGATTTGATTGCAGTTATCTGGGTAATTCCATAATACTGTATATTGAAACAAAGTGATTTGTGATCACTTTCCCCAAGCTCATCATTAACCTCAAGATTATTAATTAGTGAATCTTTGTTGGCAAGAACCAAGTCAAGCAGATTGTTTCCTCTAGTTGATTCTGTCACAACCTGTTCTAAAAAGCAATCCTGAACAAATCAAGAAAGTCACTAGACTCAAGATTTCCTGTCATATTGTTCCAATCAATTTGTCTAAAGTTAAAACCTCCCATTATCACAACATTTTCATATCTAGATGCCTTATGAATTTCGTCCCATAACAGCTTGCTACACTCCTTATCAAGGTTTGGTGGTATATAAGTTATTAATTTTTTTTTATTAACACTGGCCGATTCCCACCAAGGCAGGGTGGCCCGAAAAAGAAAAACTTTTTTTCCATCATTCACTCCATCACTGTCTTGCCAGAGGGGTGCTTTACACTACAGTTTATAAAACTGCAACATTAACACCCCTCCTTCAGAGTGCAGGCACTGTACTTCCCATCTCCAGGACTCAAGTCCGGCCTGCCGGTTTCCCTGAATCCCTTGATAAATGTTACTTTGCTCACACTCCAACAGCACGTCAAGTATTAAAAACCATTTGTCTCCATTCACTCCTATCAAACACGCTCACGCATGCTTTCTGGAAATCCAAGCCCCTCACACACAAAACCTCCTCTACCCCCTCCCTTCAACCTTTCCTAGGCCGACCCCTACCCCACCTTCCTTCCACTACAGATTGATACACTCTTGAAGTAATTCTGTTTCGTTCAAATCTCTCTACGTGTCTGAACCACCTCAACAACCCTTCCTCAGCCCTCTGGACAACAGTTTTGGCAATCCCGCACCTCCTCCTAACTTCCAAACTACGAATTCTCTGCATTATATTCACACCACACATGGCCCTCAGACATGACATCTCCACTGCCTCCAGCCTTCTCCTCACTGCAACATTCATCACCCATGCTTCACACCCATGTAAGAGCATTGGTAAAACTGTACTCTCATACATTCCTCTCTTTGCTTCCAAGGACAAAGTTCTTTGTCTTCACAGACTCCTAAGTGCACTGCTCACCCTTTTCCCCTCATCAATTCTATGATTCACCTCATCTTTCATAGACCCATCTGCTGACACGTCCACTCCCAAATATCTGAATACATTCACCTCCTCCGTACTCTCTCCCTCCAATCTGATATCCAATCTTTCATCACCTAATCTTTTTGTTATCCTCATAACCTTACTCTTTCCTGTATTCACTTTAATTTTCTTCTTTTACATACCCTACCAAATTCATCCACCAACCTCTGCAACTTCTCTTCAAAATCTCCCAAGAGCACAGTGTCATCAGCAAAAAGCAGCTGTGACAACTCCCACTTTGTGTGATTCTTTATCTTTTAACTCAAGCCTCTTGCCAGGACCCTTGCATTTACTTCTCTTACAACCCCATCTATAAATATATTGAACAACCACGGTGACATCACACATCCTTGTCTAAGGCCTACTTTTACTGGGAAATAATCTCCGTCTTTCCTACATATTCTAACTTGAGCCTCACTATCCTCGTAAAAGCTCTTCACTGCTTTCAGTAACCTGCCTCCTATACCATACACCTGCAACATCTGCCACATTGCCCCCCCTCTCCACCTTGTCATACGCCTTTTCTAAATCCATAAATGCCACAAAACCCTCTTTAGCCTTATCTAAATACTGTTCATTTATATGTCTCACTATAAACACTTGGTCTACACACCCCCTACCTTTCCTAAAGCCTTGTTCATCTGCTATCCTATTCTCCATCTTACTCTTAATTCTTTCAATAATAACTCTACCATACACTTTACCAGGTATACTCAACAGACTTATCCCCCCTATAATTTTTGCACTCTAATTTGTCACATCCCTCGAGAAACTGTAGCCAAACAGATTCTGTGTTCGATGTGTTTAATCTTATATCATGTCTAAGACAACAATTTAAATTTTCTCTGACATACATCGCCACCCCACCACCCTTACTGTTTACGCTGTCAGTGTGGAATAGTTTATAACCCTGTATGTTGCATTCAGAAGGCATTTCTCTATCTTTCAGGTTGAACCAGGTCTCTGTTATACCAATAATAATTATATTGCCTACACTTGCAAGTAATCTTAGCTCACGACTCAAGAAATCGTAATGACACGATTGCAAACAAACCATACCCCCGGCCGGGATTGAACCCGCGGTCATAGAGTCTCAAAACTCCAGCCCGTCGCTTTAGCCACTAGACCAACTAGCCACAATAATCTTATTGTGGCTAGCTGGTCTAGTGGCTAACACGACGGGCTGGAGTTTTGAGACTCTATGACCGCGGGTTCAATCCCGGCCGGGGGTATGGTTTAATCTTAGCTCATCTATCTTATTTTTTAGACTCCTACTACTGATGTCATACTCCTTTATTCAATAGATGTGACCTGACTAGGTGGGTCATTGGTCTAAGCTGTGGGGAGGGGGGTGTGACATGTACCTTCCTTGCATGGGCCAGTAGGCCTGCTGCAGTGCTCATTCTTTCTTATGTTCTTATGTATTCGGCAGGCTGGCCGGCTGGCTTGCTTTCGCTGTCTCTGGCTGTCTCTCTATCTATATCTCTATCTATCTATATCTCTTTATATCTATATCTTTGTCTCACGTGTACACATAAGTACAGTTATTATACATAGTGTAAATTACCTAGGATAATCCAAAAATTCCAGGCAAAGATAGACAGACAGATAGACAGAAACATAGAAACATGTTTGTGTGTATCAGTGAAAACAAATAAAGCCAGGGTTCCCCACTGAGGTGATAACAGATGTCATAACATGATTCTTCAAGGAGTATGATATACATATACTCCAGGCAGACAGAAAGACAGATAAACAGAGACAGGTAGACAGGCAGGCAGACAGATAGACAAACAGGCAGATAGACAGATAGACCAACAGATAAATAGACAGAGAGCCAAGACATGTTTGTGTGTAACTGATAACCAATATAGTGAGGGTTAACCAAACCATACCCCCGGCCGGGATTGAACCCGCGGTCATAGAGTCTCAAAACTCCAGCCCGTCGCGTTAGCCACTAGACCAGCTAGCCACAATAAGATTCATCCAACTAGGTATATTTCTACACCATAGGAAGGTTAGCACAGGCACCACTGTGACCACAAATGCAAGTTTTTACAGACGAATCTCCAGCTAGCGTGGCCGTGACGAACTCTAGCTCAAGTCCCTTCACTGCCGTCAACATGACTCAAGAAATCTTAATGACACGATTGCAAACAAACCATACCCCCGGCTGGGACGGGCTGGAGTTTTGAGACTCTATGACCGCGGGTTCAATCCCGGCCGGGGGTATGGTTTGTTTGCAATCGTGTCATTACGATTTCTTGAGTCATAGTGAGGGTTAGTTGGAGCAGTGGGCATTTATCAAATGTCACTGGGCTGTCAACACTATAGGGATGCCTTTCATAACAACATGCCTCAAGGTATGCACCAGGGTATCTAAAACATTACTGGGACCTATAAATACTTTGTATATATTTCTAGACAATAGTAAATAACCCAGGCACGTGTAAATGTTCACCTGTCAGTGTGATTGTGACTATTTGAGCACTATTTCAGTACCTAATATTAATGTCAGAACAAAGATTGGCTATGAAATTACAAGAACTATTACAAATTGTAATTATCAGAACATAAAAAATATATAAATTAAAATAAAGATGAGAATAAAAGGTATATCAGCAACACTGCTGCAAGTGGCAGGAGTCGATGTTGCTGACAGGTGAGTATCCAGAGCCAACTTCAGGGTCTTGTATCTCGGTAAGTACTGACCCTAAGTTTTTTTTTTTAATCCTATAACATGTAGAAAAAATGTGCTCTTCATTTTCAAAGAAATTTTTTTTTTTTAATTTTCAAAATATTCGGAGCACCACAAGAGTGAACATAGATCTACGTTTGGACAGTTTAAGGGTTAAAGAAAACAGAATAGTTAACAGCCAAACCAAGACAAAAGGAAAACATCAAGAGAAAAAATTAAGGCAAATTCATCTTGCTCTTTTAATCTTGTTTGCACCTTTGGTAAACATTTTGTTTCAATGTTAGAAAAATCAAGTAATAATGAAAATATTTTCATTATTACTTGATTTTTCTAACAGTCTTTCCTATCTCAACTGATCTTATTCCAATTTTTGCCCCTCCACTCTCTTCTTTTCGTGCAAAACCATTATTAGACCCGGTGCAATCCACCATATTGTAAACAATGAGCTTATGTTGATTTCCACTATTTTATCTCAGAATACAAGTTTTCTTTACCACAATAATTTTCCAAAGTAATTTTTCCTTTAATTTTCTAGGACATCCCTTACTCTGCCCTATACCTTTCACTATAAGCAGTCTGAAATATGCTTTCTCTAAGCTGAGGTTGTTGTTGTCCATATAAACTTGAAAGCTCAGATGTGCATGATTTTGTATTTTTAAGAATTTATTTGAAGTAATAATTTATATATATACTCTGTCAGATTCGCATGCGGTGGCGAGAGCTGTGCAAGAAATATCGCAATACAGTTAATCACAATGATCTGTACAACGCTCAGAAAACTTGCCAATATTTTGATGATCTTAATAATCTGTTTGGTAAGTACGTGTATGCTATTTCATACCAATTTATTCAGCAAAATGTAATTTATATGAAATGTTTCTTGACATTTTCTCCTGATTTTTTCATCACAAGTATTGATATTTTTTGTGTTCATTTTATGCATGTGTAGTGAAATGGCATTCATTTGATAGAGATTGAGTAAAAATTGTAGAATATATAATTGTTGGACAGTGTGGGTAACAGAAGACCAAAGGCAGTGTTGTCCTGTACGTGATGAAGGTTGATACTGCTACCGCTACCACTTAGGCACAAACATACTCTCATCACAGCCTTCCCTGCCATATGCTCAGAAACCTGCTATGTACACTAAACACAACCTACCCTGCCACATGCTTGAAAACCTGCTACCCTCACATGTGTCTGTTCTACACCACAGGCTGAGCACATGCTTACCAGCACATTCTTACCATGCCATATGACTTGCTGCCCTCATACCCTTCCTTCCACACCAAGACACTTCCACCTTCACTGCAACATCAAGTTTAAGATAATATGTAAAAAATTTTGTCAGAATGGAAGAAGAGGGAAGGTAAAAGAGGTTTCGTCCTTCAAGGAGTGTTTTGATAGGGATTATTATTTCCATAGAAAGGAAGGCATCTCCAGTTATAGCATGGGTTTCTTTTGTAAAGTAATTATGAATTCTCAGTACGTGTATATTAGCCATAGATTGTGTCAGTATTATCCTTGCTGGCAGTGAGGCCTCCTTTTAACCCTTTGACTGTCGCGGCCGTATATATACGTCTTACGAGGTACAGTGTTTGACGTATATATACTCATAAATTCTAGCGGCTTCAAATCAAGCAGGAGAAAGCTGGTAGGCCTACATGTGAGAGAATGGGTCTGTGTGGTCAGTGTGCACCATATAAAAAAAATCCTGGAGCACGCAGTGCATAATGAGAAAAAAAACTCCGACCGTTTTTTTTAATTAAAATGCCGACTTTGTGGTCTATTTTCGTATAGTATTTATGGTTGTATTCTCGTTTTGTTGGTCTCATTTGATAGAATGGAAGACATATTATAGAAATAGAGATGATTTTGATTGATTTTACTATAAAAAGAACCTAGAAATGGAGCTCAAAATAGGGGAAATGTTTGATTTTTGCCAATGTTCAAAAGTAAGCAAATGATGCCATTTTCCAGTAAATGTCCAACTAGCCATTCTAATATGCAGTCATGAATGGGTTGATGTTATTTATACAATTATTACAGTATTGCAGTAGTCTGCATAATAGTAAGTCTTCAATTTTTTGTTTGAATAAAAATTCAAAATAGAAAGCAAGAGTAATATCAGAGGGGCCTGGAAACACGACTGATGAGCAAAGAAAATGTTATTTTAGAGCCAGGAATGTCTGCATTTTCTGGACCTTATTTCGAAATTGTCATATTTTTTAGTTTTCGTGAAATTGGCTAAATTGCAAATTTCTGACCACATTATTAGGTAGTTGAAATCGGTAAATGGGCAGTTTCTTGTACTCAATCGATAGAAAAAATGGAGTTCTAAGGAAATAGCTATGAGTTTGGTCGACTGGAACAATGGAATTAGCCAAAAATAGGGCTCAAAGTGGGCGAAATCGCCAATTTGTAAACGGCGCCGAGGTCGCTAAATTTGCGAGAGCATAATTCTGTCAGTTTTCCATCAAATTTCGTTTTTTGGTGTCATTACAATCGGGAAAAGATTCTCTATCATTTCGTAAGAAAAAATATTTTTTTTTTTTTTTTTTTTGAAATTTTGCGACACCAGGACGTAAGACGTATATATACGGCCGCGACAGTCAAAGGGTTAACCCCTTGATTGTCACAACCCCAAATCCTGAGGTGTCTCCTGGTGTCGCAAAATTTCCAAAAAAAAAAAAAAAAAAAAAAAAAAAAAAAATTCATAGGAAATGATAGAGAATCTTTTCCCGATTGTAATGATACCAAAAGAAAGAAATTTGATGGAAAATGAGGGAATTACGCTCTCGCGAAGTTAGCAACCTCGGCAATATTTACAAATCGGTGATTTCGCCCACTTTGAGTTCTATTTTCGGCTAATTCCATTGTTCCAGTCAACCAAACCCATAGCTATTTCTTTAGAACTCCATTTTTTCTATCGATTGAGTACAAGAAACTGCCCATTTACCGATTTCAACTACCTAATAATGTGGTCAGAAATTTGCAATTTGGCCAATTTCACGAAAATTAAAAAATACGACAATTTCAAAACAGGGTTCAGAATGAACAGTGCAGATATTCCTGGCTCTAAAATAACATTTTCTTTGTTCATCAGTCACGTCTCCAGGCCCCTCTGATATTACTCTTGCTTTCTGTTTCAAATTTTTATTCAAACAAAAAATAGAAGATTTACTGTTATGCAGACTACTGCAATATTGTAATAATTTTATAAATAATGTCAACCCATTCATGACTGCATTTTAGAATGGCTACTTGGACATACATTGGAAAATGACATAATTTTTTTTACTTTTGAACATCAGCAAAAATCAAACATTTCCCCTACTTTGAGCTCCATTTCAAGTTTTTTTTCTTAGAAAAAACAATCAAAATCACCTCTATTTCTATAATATGTTTTCCATTCTATCAAATGAGACCAAGAAAACGAGAATGCAACCATAAATGCTATACAAAAATAGACCACAAAGTCGGCATTTTAATTAAAAAAAAATGGTTTGATTTTTTTTTCTTCTCATTATGCACTGCGTGCTACAGGATTTTTTTTATATGGTGCACACTGACCACACAGACCCATTCTCTCACATGTGGGCCTACCAGCTTTCTCCTGCTTGATTTGAAGCCGCTAGAATTTATAAGTATATACGTCAAAAACGGTGGCTCGTAAGACGTATATATACGACCAAAACAGTCAGAGTTAATTAGATAATAGTGCTATTTTTCTAGTGTTCCTTCCCTTCTATTCATTGATCACAAGAAACTGCCTATTCAACTATCAGAACTACCCTATAAAGTATGCAGAATCTGATAATTTTGCCAGTTTTACACAAAATTAAAAATAATCCAATGTACAGAATCCAAAATAAACACTGTAGATGTTCCAGGCACTAAAATAACCTTTACTCTGTTTATTAACCCTTTGACTGTCGCGGCCGTATATATACATTTTACGAGGTGCCGTGTTTGACGTATATATACTCATAAATTCTAGCGGCTTCAAATCAAGCAGGAGAAAGCTGGTAGGCCCACATGTGAGAGAATGGGTCTGTGTGGTCAGTGTGCACCATATAAAAAAAATCCTGGAGCATGCAGTGCATAATGAGAAAAAAAAACTCCGACCGTTTTTTTAATTAAAATGCCGACTTTGTGGTCTATTTTCGTATAGTATTTATCTTTGTATTCTCGTTTTCTTGGTCTCATTTGATAGAATGGAAAACATATTACAGAAATAGAGGTGTTTTTGATTGATTTTACTATAAAAAGAACCTAGAAATGGAGCTCAAAGTAGGGGAAATGTTTGATTTTTGCCAATGTTCAAAAGTAAACAGATGATGCCATTGTCCAATAAATGTCCAACTAGCCATTCTAATATGCAGTCATGAATGGGTTGATGTTATTTATACAGTTATTACAGCATTGCAGTAGTCTGCATAATAGCAAGTCTAATATTTTTTGTTTGAATAAAAATTCAAAATAGAAAGCAAGAGTAATATCAGAGGGGCCTGGAGACGTGACTGATGAACAAAGAAAACGTTACTTTAGAGCCTGGAATGTCTGCATTGTTCATTCTGGACCTTATTTTGAAATTGTCATATTTTTTAGTTTTCGTGAAATTGGCCAAATTGCAAATTTCTGACCACATTATTAGGTAGTTGAAATCAGTAAATGGGCAGTTTCTTGTACTCAATCGATAGAAAAAATGAAGTTCTAAAGAAATAGCTATGAGTTTGGGCGACTGGAACAATGGAATTAGCCGAAAATAGGGCTCAAATTGGGCGAAATCGCTGATTTGTAAACAGCGCCGAGGTCGCTAAGTTCGCGAGAGCATAATTCCGTCAGTTTTCCATCAAATTTCGTTTTTTTGGTGTCATTACAATCGGGAAAAGATTCTCTATCATTTCATAAGAAAAAATATTTTTTTTTTTTTTTTTAAATTTTGCGACACCAGGAGACACCTCAGGATTGGGGGTTGCGACAGTCAAAGGGTTAATCACATCTTCAGGTTTCTCTTGTATTACATTTGCCCTCCATTTTCAATTTATAATCTCAAAAAATCAAAGATTTACCTTACGTCTCGGATAATGAAATATAACTAGGAATGATTGCCCATGGTTTACAGCGATTCAGACATAGTAAAACCCCATAAAACACTGCGAGAGGGTGTAGGGGAAACCTTTCCTCTCCTCTGGATAATCCTCAAAAATCAAATATTTCTACTACTTTGAGCCTGATTTCAACCTAATCCCAATACTGAAACAAACCAAAATCATTTCAGTGGTATATCTTGAATTCTATCAAAATGATGCCACAAAACATCCAATAAAATTATAAAGAAAACATCGTAGAAAACACCTTGGTCACTATTTTAACCCTTTGACTGTCACAAGTCAAGGTCTGAAACTGTCATTCTATGTCGCAAAATTTTTGGGAACAAAAATGATAGAGAATCTTTTCCCGATAGTAATGACACCAAAAGTACGAAATTTAGTCTGAAACTCAGGGAATTACGCTCCCGCGAATTTAGTGGTCTCGGCGACATATAGGCATCGGCAATTGTACCTAATTTGAGCCCTGTTTTTGGTCAATTCCGTTGTTCCAGTTGACCAATCTCGTAGCTATTTCTTTAGAATTCCATTTTTTCTGTCCATTGAGTACAAGAAACCGCCCATTTTCCGATTGGAACTACCCAATAAAGTGGTTAGATATTGGCAATTTGACCAATTTCACGCAAATTAAAAAAAGATGCCAATTTCAAATAACATATCCTCTGTTCATTAGTCACGTCTCTAGGCCCCTCTTATATTAC